GCTCAGTGGTCTGGGGATTGGGTTGGCTCAGTGGTCTGGGGATTGGGTTGGCTCAGTGGTCTGGGGAGTCGGGTTGGCTCAGTGGTTTTGGGGATTGCGTTGGCTCAGTGGTCTGGGGATTGGGTTGGCTCAGTGGTCTGGGGATTGGGTTGGCTCAGGAACGGAAGGAACGACCATTTTTCTCTTGATTATGCCCACAATTTCCTCCCTATTTTGAAATAATGCAGTCAAGTAAACGTTGACATGTTTTCTATCCTTTCTAGAATATGTGACTTGTTGGTAGTGGCCAACAATCGCGATGGCGAGCCATGGAGAAAGCGCATGCTCAAGTCCCTGGTCATTGAGGTAAGAGTGACGATGGTATCATTTTGTAATTTGTACGAATAAATGCTCAACAATCACCAGAAACCTGTCAGAACGAAGACTATTGTGACCCCAGCACATCAGAATGAGGAATAAGCCACAAATTGATGCTCCACAAAAATTTGATCTGACCTTTTTACATGAAATGTGTTGGTGGCAATCATCTATGATAACTACACTCTTAAAAGCACAAAGACCTAAAAAAATCAATTTGGTAAGATTTTCACTTGTGGTCATTTTTACCTGCTGATTATACACAAAGCAAGCTCAGGCACTTCTGACTGCGATATAGGATCACTTTTTTATCTCTTGTCAGATGGTGCTATGGATGGCTTAATTGTTCCATCAAAAGTAGGGACTTGACCTCTGACCTAATGAGTGCACTGTAGATTTGTCCTGTCAGATTGCAGAGAATAGCAGGTTACCCATGGAAACTTTGTGCCCGGCCACTGGGGACACAACTTTTGACCCCTGAATTAGCATACTGCTGATTTATCCAATCAGATTGCAGAGAACAGCAAGTTGCTCCTGGAGACGGCGTGTCCGGCTCCCCAGCACCTCTTTGGCATGGGCTCATCCGTGGATGGAGCTTGGGCCACCGACCGTGCCACTAAACTGGCCACCAGTCCGCCAGCAGCTAAACTGGCACCCAGGCTACACTTGCTCTGCCTTCTCTTCGAGGTACAGTTGGTTTCAGAGGCTGTGGTTTTTGTTGTGAGCCGTCCGTGACCTGTCACCCCAAAATGAGCTCAGGGTTGGATATTGTCATTTTGCAGTACAGTGCGGCAAGGCCGAATTTTGAAATGAACTGTTCAGTTTTTTCCAGGTGAACCTCGATCAAAATACTTGTTGAATTTCCATGTCCAAGTGATAGAGAATGAGGGAATTCACCCTTACACATAATGAGTTTGGAGGGTTCAGAGGATTTTTGACTCGCTTCACATCGACCTTTTTACTCCTTGGAAGTTTGAAGAAAGACCGTTGGGTTTGTTGACATTGGTTGGGCTGTGAAAATTTTAGAAACTGTTTGAGATTTAAGGTTTATACGAGACTTTGGCATTGACCATACACCCCGGTTGTTGTCTGATCAGTATTTGGTGGGTGTGGTTCAATTCAGGAAATGAAGGGTGTATCAGCTCAAGCCGTGGACGAGTCTGGCGTTCTCCGGGTCCTCGTTTCGCTTCTCGAGGAGTCACAGAAGTGCATGTGCAGCGTCAAGGAATGTGCAACACCAAAGTGAGTTTGAGTTTATTGTGTTACTCCGAAGGCAAGCTGACGTCATGCCATTTTGCTTGAATCTTTCGACTGGATTTCAAGTCTGATTGTTCACATTTCAGATGGAAGGCAATTCAGTTTCAGTGAATCCTTGATTGTCTATTGAAATTTAGATCTTCGGATGAGTACCTTTTGAAAGTGAATTGTTTTGTCATATCAAGTTGCATATTTGTGTTATCACTTGATCTTTTACAGGTGGTTAGGCCCCCTGTTGTTACTGATCGACCAGTTTGAGAAGGCTGCTGTAACTGCACGCAGGAAACTAGCTCAAAAAGTAAGTTGGTACCGGTGTTGTAGACGAAAAACAGAAGTTTCGTTTTTTTCATTTTTTGTTATTGTGGATGGCTTGGAATGGATTACTACTTCAAAGTAACCCAAGTTGGCCCATATTCAGTAAAGGGCGTATTTGAGGGATGGCCCTTTGTTGACCACTGATCAATTTTTCCTGGTAACCTGTGCACAAAATACATCATGGGCACCAAGCGAAATCGGCCAACGGTTGTTTGAACTCACCCAAAGATACCAGAGTTGTAGATTTTTTGTTTAACTTCAAGACTATCTCCAATATAACCTTTTGATCGCTCTGTTCCTCGCCAAAAGGGTGCCACCCACATCTGGAAGTGGTTTGATGACTCGACGGGCCGCTGGTGCACCTACAGCAGCGCCAATAACAAGACGATAGACGACGCCTACTGGGCGGGGAAACCCATCGTCCGCTTCACAGCAGCGAGGAGGAGATACATGGTACACTTCAGCACCATGGTCCAGGTACGTTACGACGGAATGAAGCAATTTTGGCCGGATCCCACAAACAAGTAGCACAGAACTTCGTGTTTATGCATCACACAGTTTGGCAACTTGGTGAAAAATTATGTGGGTACACATGTTGGATGATTCCCTTTGATATGTATTGTAAGATTCTTTTAAAGGTCTTGACTCCTTGCCTCAGGCAAGGTCCAACTTGATCGTTTTCTTAACGCAAAGAACCTTGTCAGAGTCCCACCTTTAGTTGTTGTTTCTGACTCTTAAATCAGTTACTGTCTTCTGGGATTGTTTTTCTCACTTAAGTTAATAGCAGCACATTAGTTGATAAGAAAGAAAGTAATCATTAATTGGTGGTCCGCAAGCCTGCTACAGATGAGTTATTTTCATCTCCAAACTCCTCCCCCCTGTCATCTCCCCTGCAGCTGAACGAGGAGACTTTTAACCGACGGCCCGTCATGCAGACGCTGCCCAGCAAAGAGCAGGCCAAGGACACCGACAGAGACGGCAAGGAGGACAAGCGACGAGACTCGGCCAAGAAACTCAAGACCAGTCGACCCACAGAAGGTAGGCTTGAAGGACAGGGTTGCTCCAGACTTGAACAGTTCCTGCTCTGTGTCTTGAATAGGCAGTATTTCCAACCTGATCACATTGTGAACAAGCTGTCTGAACTTGGCTTTTTTGACAGTGGCTATGGCCATGCACCATGTCATGCTAGTGGTAGGAACTGCAGCCGTAGCCACAAAATACTCAATTTGGCTTCCACTCCTTGAATGGGTAGATATTCTCATTTGATAACACCTGGTGTTCCATATGTTCTGACTTCTACGAGATGCCCTTCTCACAGGATTTTCAGTCTCATGTTGTGGAAATATCCCAAGGGGACTTGCATGGGTTTGTAATGTTTCCTTTGAAAAGTTTCATTTCTGTATCTGAAAGATTTAATCAAGGTGAGATCTGATCTGGTTTTGCTCACAAATATCAAAACTTGTTAATTTGCAACCACCACCACCACATGCTATATCCTGTCATTTGTAAGGCAGATTAAGAGAACTGATCATTTCTTCTGCTGGACTGGGTTCAAACTTGATATTTCTGCTATCATCACCGTCACGACCGCATCTTGCCAAACTTGACAATAAGATGATGACGATGATTATAGAGCGCACAGATCCACCAAGGTGCTCAAGGCGCTAGTAGAAGGAAACTAATTAAATGCCTCATTGAAGAGATGAGTCTTCAGATCCTTCTTAAAGTGCAGGCGAATTGTGCCAAAGACGAGGTGCGGCACATGAAAAGAGCGATCCCCCCATGAGTGAAATGACCTGGGTTCTCTAAGAAGATTCATATTACTGGATTGAAGTCTACGTATGGGATTGTATGGTTGTAATATCAAAGTAAGATTGGCATTTCTCACAGAGGTACATTCAGGTAGTATTTTCGTGTTGCCCAGAGAATCCCAAGACAACTGTGTAGGATGTAAATTGAGTATGTACACGGAACCTCAATTGAAGAGACCGCTTACTTGTGCACCTGCAGTGTGCTAGTAATCACTGGCCAATACGTGTGGCTTTGCAGGGGTTGGTTCTGCGTCCGTCAGCACCGAGGACAAACCAGCCACCGCCAGGGAGCCGGAGGTCGTCGCCATCCAGGGCTTGGACATGGACCACATCATCACCATCATCAGGTGAGGGCTTGGGGAACTTTCCTGAGGATATTTGCTTTTCATTGGATGTTATTTGGTAAGTGTTGAGGTCTCGGCTCAGTGCTGTGAGAAAAGAAACCATGAGCTTGCTCAACTGGGACTTGAAGCCACAGTTTGTCCCTACTTATTGACCATTCACTGTCTCTCTGACACAGCGTCAGAGACTAGGGTATTTCTCATTCCTGTGACCCAGGATTGACTCGGTGCACGTTTGCTACATATGTAAACTGATATAGGAAATGCAGATGTAGATATTTTTTTAAGTAAGAGGGACACCAGCATTTGAGTTTGTAATGATCAACCTGTCTTCTCCAATGCAAGTCCTTGCTTGGAATATTCTTGTAAATCAGTGGCATGTTCTTTTGTGATAAATACGGCCAAATTAATGTCATTGTTTATATCATTGTGAGTGCATATATCAAGCTGCCTCATTGTTTAGAGGACAGTCTGGTTCTCTGTGTTACCCGCTCGCAGCCAGGCACAAGAGAAGACATATTTTGACATGTCAGCGACAGTCATTTTTTTGTGGGAACTCACCACACGTAATCACAGGATCACTTGCATTTGGCGTAGGACACGCTGAGCACTGCGAGTCCAGGAGGAATGAATGTACGGTCATTGTGGGTGTGTCGGGCGTGTACACAAGCCCAGTTGGAAACTTCCCGCCAGGTGACCTCTTCTTTGCTTTGAGGGCACACTTCAACTCGGTTGAGTAGATCTTCATTTTTGTTAAAAAAGAAGCTGTGTTCCTTTTCAGATCATGCGTTGGCCTGATCAGCCTCCCCGTGGAGCCGGACACACTTCACGCCGTCATGCGCGTCTGCCTGCGCTTCACGCGCAACCACCAGGTGGCGCTTCTCTTTGCCGAGCTGGGCGGGCCCCGCATGCTGCTGTCGCTCAAGACATCGTCTTCATTTAACGGCTTCTCCTACCTTGCCACCATTCTCATCCGCCACGTGTTTGAGGAGAGAGCCGTGCTTCGCCATGCCATGGACAAAGTAAGTAAACGATTATCACATTTTTCACCACTTTTATCAGCCAAGGAGTAGATTTTCCCATTGAACTGGTTCGGCATTCGAACAGCGCATGCCCAAAATGAAATGCATCTGAGGTCATTCGGGAACAGCAGAAGATGCAAGGAAGGTCTACCCTGTTAGCACAGCCGTACATGGACTCACACGCATGCCTTTTTATCTAATGACTTTGCCCATCTTTAAAATACTGAACTTGCTCTTCCTGACCCAATGCCACAAAGTGAGTCTTACGGCCACATAAGTCATAAAATTTGCTGTGGTTTGCATCCAGCAGGGTAAACATTTTGTGTTGATGTAGTCACTCGGTGTAACATACGGATTAAAGTGGACGTTCCGTGGGTGAAAAAAGTTGAGATTCATGTGACTTCCATTGCGACTTTACTTGATACTCATTTGGCTATGTTTGGTTAATATTCTCGATTCGTATTATGAAATCTTCAGATGATCTTGTGCTTCATAAGTACTTTTCGCAGTTACAACGAGAGCCTTTGCCATCAAGGCTACAAGTGAGCGATTAGCAGTGTAGGAATATCTTTGTCAGAAATCATTATGTAGTACTCGTTGCTTGATGGTTGACTGGGTTACCCGTAGAAGCTTGTGATTCCGTGTATAAGACTTGACTGTAATACTGGTGGAGACGAGAATGACAAGCTGTCACTGCCATGCCATGGACAAGCTGTCACTGTGACTCCTCCATTTCATTTGTGCATACTCGTGCAGTTGATGACGAGCATCGGCAACCGTGGCATCGGCTGTCCGGTCTGTGGTGTGCTGCAGGGCAGCATCGGGTCCAGGGAGCTCCACTACGTCCTGAGGAAGCTGGGCCCGCTGGCCTGCCGGGACGAGGGGGTGTTTGACGAGACGGCCCGGTCCATCCTGAGGATCGCCCTGCCAGTGCCCAAGCGAGGTGAGGGAGCCATCAATTTTAAAATTGATCCTGTGTCTGCCGTGGCTTCAACCAGAATGCTGAGTGATAGAATGCCATTTTAATTTCTGATTACAGCGTAGGCAAACAGGATATGCCTTTATGGTGCTGGGTATGTCATTCGTAGAATCCTTCAAAAGGCTCGCTGTTTTGGCTGACGTTGCAATTTGATTGTCTCATTTTTAAAGCTAGGTCAGTGGGCCAGTCACATGGTGCGTTTCGGTTTTAGTAGTGAAGATGAAAATGAATTTTAAGTGTCTGTTTAATTAACCCTTCCAAACACCAGGAGTGGTGGAATCTGTCCAACCTTGACATTTGCTCCCATATCGTTGCATAATTTTCGCATACTGAGTTTTCATATACTGTTTTCAGTAATATCCCGTAGTCATTTTGTCACCACGCTTTTGAAAATCAGACATGCAGTTCTCACACAGCACCCATTTTCTGAGACAGGTCAGCCAACAGTGTACATGTATACTATTTCCAATGATGCACTGAATGCACAAGGGCCAACGTGCATGAGACCACGAACGTCAAATGACTGTAGAAACAAAACCATATATTGGATTGAGTTGAAAGTCACTAGTTGCACTGATAATGAGTTTCATCATTTGTGCCAAGTTTCAAAGAGGTTGCTCATGAGACAGCCGAGTTCTGGGGGCAAGCAAAATCTGAAAAAGCCCCGTTCCTTTAGGGTTAACCGTGGGATTTCTACCTCTTACTCACGTACAGATCCGGCACTGTTTTCAAATGGTATCTTTTCATTTCTGCCAAGGTGATGAGGATGAGTCTCGCTACACTGGCCCCAACGCACTCCAGCTGCTCAAGGCTCTACCCATGAAACCCTACACTCATCCAGCTATGACTGACCTGATGAAGCAGGTGCTGTGTGACCTGCTGAACGCCTTGACCGCCCCGAGCGAACCCTCCCCTCCACCGACGGCAGCAGCAACAGAAGGTATCTCAGTCATTTGAAGTGCTCGCTGCTGAGCTTTCTGGTGCAAATTGTGAACGTGGGCGATAGTTCATGGTGTTGTGCGGAAATCCTCTTTAAGTGTGTTTTACTTTATCCTTCCAGCTTCGAGCCAAGGCGGCACCAATGACAAGAAGGCCTCCTCTGCCGCGGCTGCTACAGTCAACCCGCCGGCGGAGATCGGCCTGGGGCTACGGGAGATCGGTGACGAGCTCCTGCAGTTCTACAGCGGTGGGCGGAATCTCCAGGGCAACCGCATCACCACACAGCGCCTGGACAGTGGCACGGACGCGGCCAATGCAGACGAGGAGGTGAGATGCCAAGTAGACCTAACGGTTCTAATTGTTTGCCCTTGGAACCTTAAGATTTTTCCTGTCCTCAGTGTTAAGCACCTCTACGTTATAGTCCGTGGAAGAGTATGAGTCACAATGCCTCCTCTGTGGTACAGTAAAAGAGACTGTATTCATCCCTTCTCATTTCAGCCTAACTGTAACTTCAAGACACGGCCTTGATTTCTCTCGTGAATAATGAATTACTGAGTCACGTGGACCACGTGTCAAATCTTTGCTTTGTCTTCAGCGTCAGTTTCTCTGATTTTAGGAGATTCTCCCCCCCTGCAATTTTGTGTCCATTTTCGATGACATAGCATCAAATCGCATGTATCAGGGCTCAGCATTTAGAACGTGAAATGCACATATTGTCAGGAATGGCCCTTTGGAAGGATTGACATCTAAGGTCCAGGGGTGTGATATCCAAAGGGTGTTTCTGGATTTCAGGATTTTTGACATCAAAATTCTGCTTTTCAGAGGCTCAACTGTTCAAGTTTTGCTAACTTTGTTTCGCACTGTGTCCAGAAAGCTGGTGGAAGATTCGCATAATCATAGCCATGAAGCGAGAGACCTCATGCCATGTTGGCTATTAATAACCTTAACGTCACAGCGTTATATTGTTGTCATTGTAACAATTCCTCTGCGTGAAGAGTCCTCTTCATTCCCAATCTCTCTCCACAGGTTTGCCATATGTGACCGGTCTTCCTCCAACCCCGTGCACATCTTCCTTTTACAAAGCCACCCTCTC